GTACCGGAAGTATTCAAGTGTCCAGGGTGTGCGCAAAATGAATTACTATTAAACATAGGTTTCGAATCTAGAAATTTGTTATGTGACATTTGTGTGTGTTTTCAATGCATTCATTCGTAGATTATTCACAGCAAGAGCACTAATGCCAGATCTAACCATTAAGGCCTTAAGGCTACAATTAAACCTTTGAATATGACCAATTCCTAACGTCCATTTTGTTCATTTCTTTAGTATTGATCGAATTTTCTGGTTGCATTGATCAATGATGATCGAATTCAGCTAACGCATTCATTACTCAAAACTATTTCTGTCTCAAAAGAGAAAGAAATGCTGCTCTCTCGAGTTCCTAAGGCCATTACAATATGATGGATGGTAGCAGATTCAACGTTCATATTTTTGTTCGAACTTAAACTCAAAGATATTGTAACAATATGACGATGCTGACATACACCATTTGTTTGAATTGCTATTTTCATTCGTCATTCTCAAATCAGCTATATTCATATGAGCGTCTTGAATTATGATTTTTCACATTTTGACAGTTTCAGAAGCCTTGAGAATGCTTCAGTTGGGCATTGGATAATAGATTGATATTAAACGTATTATTGATGCATTCGTTCAAATGACTTAAATTAATTCATCTTTAGAGGAAATCCTTCAAAATGTTTACTGACATAAACAGCAAGTATTTATGGTTATTTGGTATCTATTATTTATTATACCATCTGTATCAGTCATTTCATCAATTTCACGTGGTATTCTCAACGCTTGATGAAGTCTGTTCAATGAGAATGAGAATATCCAAATGTCGAACAAACAAACCAACAAAAAACCAATTTGAAGTATGTGAAACAGATGTGATGGCTGGCGAAGCGAGCGGGTTATTTCGAATAATTTCACGAACAATGAATTGATTTAATTCATCAGTTTAGCAATGCCTCATTTATTTGCTGAGTTTTTTGTGCGAGAGAAACTTTTGCGAATCATTTATTCAGTTTTAGGCACTAACAACATTTATCACGAATTCCACTCTTCGCATATACAATATGGTTTTAGTGATCACTTTATTCATGGGAACGATATTACGAACCCAAATCTTATCTATAAACAAATGGATATTAACACCTCTGAATATATATCTGGAGTGGTTTCATGTGATTTTATGCTTAACAATAAGAATTTCCTATTTTAACAGAACACTTTACTACTTGTAAGATCTTATTAGCACCCATATAATTTTCAGTCTGTTTTGTTGACTTCATTAGATAGAGCATATCCTGATCCGTAAGAAGTGCGCATGTAGTAGGCATTGAGCTGGCCTAGTTTTAGAGATATATGTGTATTTGTTAAGGTATCTCCTCCCCACAGCAATATTGGGAGTACCACATTTGATCTGTCCATACGCTCCGTTTCATTTCGCAACTTTAAAATTTTTGTCACTGGCGAACAGAGGAGATGGTGAGCCCCTTGACTGCAAAAAGTTTACAGTTGTATTCCAGCAATCAAGTCGCATCTTTAAATTCGTATCGTATGAGCGATTCCATCGTACCGTTAAACTCACCACATTTGATCTCTACGTTAATCAGCAGTGAACCGCTGCAACAACCAAATGCAAATCCTATTATCTGAATCAAATATTATAGATGACTAACACTTGGAATGCTGCGTATTTCTCAGAACCAAAACTGCTGTATCGTTGAAACTTCAATCGCTTTCATTATTTCATATTTTCAACCAAATTCTAATTTTTCATAGTCAATGTTGAAGATTTAAAGTTTTTAACAAGACTAATGGTAAATATGAGAAAGGAACCACTTGAAATCACATCACTTATGCTATGTATAAAGGGTAATTGGTAACTTACGAAAGGCGTCTGACACTCGAATCCTAGAAATTGCATTCATATGATCACGAACTATAGAGTGGCAGTTTTGAGGTTTTCAATTATTTCTTTGAAAAGTAAACTTTTTGAATCGGTTTTGAACTGAGGCCGCGTATAAAGAAGGTACGGGATGATTGGTCCTAAATCAAATGAAGCATCTGAAAGAACGCAGTTGATGATTGATTTCAAAGAATTTAACGAAGTTCGGAAAATCGAATTATAAGTTGAAAAGCTTATGATTTGCTGTTATGAGCACGAAGAAGTGTTCTATTTTGCAAAGGTTTTGGAGGTTAGCAATAGTTTTTGAGTACTAAATGACGAAAGGACCATTGGAAAAATTGATAAATGAGTCGTTAAAATCATAAAAGTGAAGAAACACCAGAAAGCAATGATAATTCTCTTGAGAAATGAGAATTCACAAAGAAAACTTTTCGGAAAAAAACCACACAAACACATCATAATTTGTGCAAATTGGCTATTTCCTCTTCTGAAGAGCGAGAATTTTTGCTTCTCTTTCAAATTTTCCGATTTTATTTTTGTGTTCCAGAAAAATAAACTCGTTAGCATTTTCTCGTCGGCTGGAAAACGCCACTCAATTTATTGCTATTCATCACCGTTATGAAGTTATGAGATCATAAGACTGAAAGTAATTTTTATCACAAAATTATATACATTATATCACTAACAAGTTAAAAACACTAATAGATGAGTATGAAGACAAATTTTGTAAAGAGTCGAGTTCAACATATTCAATACTTGATTATTTTCTCAACATGAAATTATTCTTCAAAACTTTTTTTGTAAGTTACCAAAATGGAAGCAAAAAATTTTATTTTCATTTGACGCTAACTCAGTCGATAATTTGAATAATAGCTGCAGTACTGATGGAAACCACTAAATTTGGAAATTTTTTATGAAGTGCTGAGTAGATATAAAAAAGACCTTCGCGCAATTACTGAATCATTCATAATGGCAAATTATTTCAGATATTGATGGATATCAGGTTGACAACTGAAATCAAGATAAATTTCCTCATAGCATTAGTTTACTCTTGCACTAATAAATCATGTTAACTGAAAATGGTCCGTTTCATATCGAATCTGAGATTTCATATGAAAGGATCCTTAAAATGATATCTGTAAATGCACGAACTCAATCTAAAGTTTTGGAATATGCACATGCGATCGATCATTGGATCGATGTTGTCATTTCCTTAACTTTTTGATTCGCCGAGAAGAAGTGATTTGTTCGTATTTCAGACAATTTGGTTCAGCGCCTAAATGGGGATCGAATCGTTTCCTACGATCACTGTACTGGGCTTGTCGAGGATTCCAATACTGGTTATGCTTCTATGATGACGGTTCGAGACTCCGTTTTATGATCTCTTTATGAATTGTTCTCTCCCAGCTGTTCATCGAAAAATATAACCCGTTCCAAAAAAGAAAGAAATAAGAAATGAAATCCAAAACTAGCAAAGAAATCAGCTCTAGGATAGATATATACTTGCGTGTGACTATGCCTTTAACTGCATTTTAGAACTCCTCATCAGTGATATTGATACTAGTCATAAGCTAGTCTCAGTCGTATTTTGAATTTCTTAAGATAAGATTCTACTATGTCAATTGTTCAGCATTCATTTGCCTAGCTCATGTTATCCTATACGTTTATCAAGCCAGTTCTGTTGAATGGCAACTTGAGCATCGAATATTTTTTACGAATAACCCTCCCCCCCCCCCCCCCCCAAAAAAAAAAACAGCTTCCTATCGATTTCTCACAGCAAGAACCGTTCACTCCAATGAATCGTTTACTAATTTAACTCATCACAAAAAATTCTGATCCCACGTTCAGAACTTGCATCATTCGAATACTGATTTTGCAGATATCGAGGTGGATGTGGAGGATCTTCTGTCCAATCCGTTCATCACACAGCCACCGTCACTCGAGCAATTGCAGGCTGTGACTGGCTTCCAGAAGGAATGGATCATGTTCATTTATCGAAATTTCAAACAGGTTTGCTGTATCGTTTTTATTCAATTTTCAAATAACGATATTGATACGATCATCGACTAACGTTCAGTAACAAGCGATCATTTCGAGGACTATAACTTAAGAAGTATTCTTGAAGAGATGTTCAAATGGCCGTATGAGTCAAACTCAATGGCGTCGAATATTCCGAATTATCTTTCCGAACGCTTCCGATAACGAGTTTGTCGATCGTTTATTCGCTGCAGTCGCTAGCGACAACGTGCGCAGGTCGCTTACCTTTGAGGCAAGTTGATCTTTTAGTATCGTATGTTGATCTAGCACGATAAGTGGCTCCGATACGTGTCAATAAGTGCAATTCGTGAGAATTCTCTCGTTCCTCAGGTCTAACTATTATATCTTCAGTTTAATTAGAACTGATCTACGAGATATTTCAGATTAATTTAATGTTGTCCTGAAGTTAAAGCTTATCAGAACTTTTGTAGTGCACTGATGAAAGCATTTGAGCGATTGAAGCTCATGACCAACTGAAATTTCATAACGGTTAGACGAATTATAATTTATGATGCTACAATGGGTAACTACTTGAAGGATCTAATAATGTGTTTGTATGAACTCACTCAGTACAGTGATCTCCCGGCTGACACACCGTCATCGAGCAGTGCATCATACTCGTTGAATACGGTCGAGTTTGTGTTCCGCCTGATGAAACCTGATCATAATGTACGTCTAATTTCGCTTTATCTTACTCCTTATATCCCACATAATCCTCGCATTGAGAAAATTTTACTGCCGAATAAACCTGAGCATATAGGTGATATTTATACCATATCAGACAATACCATACGAGAATTGTAATCATTTCAAATTGGCTTTTTAAAAAGTTCATCTTCAACACTAAATTCCAATTGCATCCGGTATATTCTCAATTTGGAATTCTCTGCACAGGGTGCGGTCAGTCTACAAGCATTCACCGAATACGTACAATGTGTTTTCAATCTGAACTCAACTACCTCATCAAATGTTAGCAATGCGCATGCAATTAGTCAAATGCATACCTCGTCACAACAACTCAGTCCAAGCGACGAAACACGTTCGAAAATATCGCCTGGAATTCGCAATTATGCCTTGCAACAATTTAAGGTGAGCATTCCTTTAATCTCGTACTGAAATGCGATTATTTTCACTTGTGATCAATTCAAGATCCATTGTGTAAGGTTAGGCGGTACAATGGAATTGCACAACAGCGCGACATGCCTTCGGAAATTTAGCTACATCTATGGAACTCTTTGTAAACTGATTTTCCGTCAACAACAGGCATATTTTTGTGTTACTAGAGAATCTGATGAATACGATGGTTTATTGAAAGTACTGTGATACCGAGCAAAGTTGATCATGCAAAGAGATCCAGAACGCTTTCCTGATATATCTAAATGAATGCCTTCATCCTTACTCCTTATATCCCACATAATCCTCAGAATGAGAACATTTTAGTGCCAAATAAACCTAAGCATATAAGTGATATAATGAACTGTGATAATAGTGATAACTGGAGTGATCTTGAAGAGGCTTATGTACGGAACGTACAATGATAGCTGAGTAAATAAGTAGATAAAATAGGTGATGTATGTTATTAGTTGTTGATATATGTTTGAAATGCTTTCAGATTCTTGACGCAGATGGTGACGGTTTCATANCTCTGTGATATAGAACGAGCACTAATGAATACGGGTTGTGATCTTCTTCGACTAACCACCACTTCGCATTTACCTGGATGAGCATATCGATCGTAACTGAATCAGATGTGCTCTCCCAGAAGTGCCTTTCTTTCCTTTGCTTATTCATCCAGTTTCATCTGATGAAAATGATCTCATAATAAAATTTTGCATTTCATTTTTGACTGCTCTCTGTTAGCAATGCAATACATCTTACAAGGAAAGGTCACGAACTTAATCTGATGTTTCTTGATGAGATATACATCATATTGTAGAACTCATCGAGTTGATCATAAATATGTAAGAAATTTTTGCGAAACAATTTTGAATGCGAAACAATGCGAAAAAAATTGCGAAATTTTTGCGTATAGCTATATCAATTTCGTCAATTTCGAAAGTCTGATTTGTCAAATAATTCATCAGTATTTTTGTGTGTGAAAATTCAAAAACTCAAGCAAAACCGGACAAAAATTCGAATGTGTATAATGAAAATTCACTTCCGAAATATCTTAATATGCTTGTTCGATTCCATCAATTCGCAAATTAACTAGCAAAACAAACCGCTGATAAGTGTGAATACCAACAATACAAGTGGACAAATAAACTCGAAATTTGACCAGTCAATACAAATCGAGAACTCAAACTCGAGAAATTTTATGCGATAAATTCGCAGTGTCTTAAGTTATTTTTAATTAGAGCTATATATTTTGTATATATATTTTTTGGTCAGGTATATTTTTTGGTGTATACATGCATAAATTAAATACATGATCAAGCATAATCTCATGAATTCAGAACCTTGTAAAATAAATTCCGAGATTTTGAGAATTCCACAAGATGAGATGGAAAATTTTTGATTCTCAAAAAATTCAAGATCAATTCTCAATGGACTCTCGCGGAAAGTTCTCGACAAATGAAATTCCGAATACAGGAACAAAATTCTTGTTTCCTTGTTGTTATATTAGCACTTTCGATTTTATCAATCAAATCGAGGTCCTTTGCGTATCACGCAGATTATTGTGTAGATCAGCTATCTAAATAGTGATCAGTTATGCCTGCTCAATTTGTCTGCTCAATTCATTTAGCTTTTTGAAGGTGTTCAGTTAACACAGCTATGAAATTCTCTACGACAGCATTTGCACAATTCAATTTTTTCCACCACAAATGTGAAAAGGAATGTAAACAAACGACTCAACAAAACATTCGAATGAGCAGCATCCAGTGTTCATTCAATAAACTGAATTGTTTGTATGTGCACAATTCAAGAAATCTCTTCGGCTAGTTCTAGAACAATAAAGAGTTTGCGTTGAGCTGCTCTCGCACACTAATCGTAGGTCTCGTCACTCATTCGTCAGCTTCACACTCGTTGTCATCGGGGAACAACAGCTTGAGCAACTAGCTACTGCTGGATTACTGGACTGTAGTTGGTTGCTGCATAGAGAGAAAGTAGAACAACAAGCGAGAGCAACACAGCCGAATACAGGTTGTCAAGAGATGGTATCTCAAGACCAGTACTGCTTATTATATCTCAGTGACTAGTAAGTAAGTAAGTAAGTAAGTATTTCGAATCTCCACATTCAAGATTCAGTACTAGTAATAGGACAATACAGTGCTCAGACTTCACTATCTCAATAATTCGTGTTCTGCTCAGCAGCGATCTACGTTTGATTTTGTTCTATCAAAGCGCATCACATTAAATTCTCTCAACACGGCGTATATTCTCAAGTTTTGATATGATTTGTTTTCTTTGGATGTGCATTTGAGTTGGTAAATTGCCTCAGTCAGTCACCTCAAGTACCTCAATTGCAGCAGTCCAATTACGATAGGATATTGCCAATTTTGCTTGAATTTGAACGTTCTGAGTATTCAACTTAACTGTATGCTTAGCAATCCTGTACCATAAAAGATCAATTTTTATCAACTTGAGCATTTCATACAGTACGGAATTGTTCGAAGCAAATTTCTCATGCACTTTCGAAGATTTTATAATTGCATTTGGCTCGGCTTCATCAAAATAATTGATTGTACCTGCGTTTATACGTTTGTGAAAGTTTTAGAGAGAACATTTCACTTAGGTTTGTCAGCAAATA